AAATTCAACTAATATTGTCACTATTTAAATAATATATGTTAGAGTTAAAAGTTCAAACAGTGGCTCAGTGCCTGTAGTTCAGTGGCTTGGGCGCCAGCCACATACACTGGAGCTGGAGGGTTCGAATCCAACGTCAGCCAACTACAACCAAAAAAAAAAACACAAAAAAAAATAGCTGGGTGAGGCAAGAGACTCGCTTAAGGGAGTTGTGGCAGGTGCCTGTAGTCCCAGCTACTCAGGAGGCTGAGGCAAGAGAATCACCTAAGCCCAAGAAGTGGAGGTTGCTGTGAGCTGTGATGTCATAGCACTCTACTGAGGGTGACAAAGTGGGACTCTGTCTCAAAAAAATAAAAATAAAAAACTTGCCGGATATAAAATCAAAATCAACACACAAAAGTCAGTGGTGTTGCTGGGTACCGTGGGTCATGCCTGTAATTCTAGCACTCTGGGAGACCAAGGTGGGTGGATTGCCTGAGCTCACAGGTTAAAGACCAGCCTGAACAAGAGCAAGACCCCATCTCTAAAAATAGCTGAGCATTGTGGCAAATACCTATAGTCCCAGCTATTCAGGAGGCTGAGGCAAGAGGATCACTTAAGCCCAAGAGGTTGAAGTTGCTGTGAGCTATGGTGCCATAGTACTCTACAGAGGGTGACAAAGTAAGACTCATTCTCAAAAAAACAAAAAGTAGTGTTTCTATATGCTAACAATGAACAATTCAAAAAATAAAGAAAATAATTTTATTTACAATAACAATAAAAATAAATAAAATACTTAAGAATAAACTTAACCAAGGAGGTGAAAGACTTGAATGCTGGAAATTAAAATGTTGCTGAAAGAAATTAAAAACATAGGGCGGCACCTGTAGCTCCAAGGAGTAGGGCCCCATATGCCAAGGGTGGTGGGTTCAAACCCAGCCCCAGCCAAAAACTGCAAAAAAAAAAAAGAAGAGAAAGAAATTAAAGACACAAATAAATGGAAAGATATACCATAGTCATGGACTGGAAGACTTAATTTTTTTTTTTTTTTTGAGATAGAGTCTCCCTTTGAAACCCTTAGTAGAGTGCTGTAGCCTTACAGCTCACAGCAATCTCAAACTCTTGGGCTTACGCGATTCTCTTGTTGTTGTTGTTGTTGTTTTCTCTTTTTCTTTCTTTTCTTTTCTTTTTTCTTTTTTTTTGAGACAGAGTCTCACTATGCCACCCTTGGTAGATTACTGTGGCATCAGAGCTCACAGTAAACTCCAACTCTTGGGCTCAAGTGATTCTCTTGCCTCAGCCTCTTTCTTAGGCTAGTCTTGAACCGGCGAGCTCAGGGCAATCCACCTGCCTCAGCCTCCCAGAATGCTGGGATTACAGGCATGAGCCATTGTGCCCAGCCAAGACTTACTTTTGTTAAGATAATAATATCATCCAAAACAATATACAAATCAATGCAATCCCTATCAAAATCTCAATGACTTTTTTGTTTTTTTGAGACAGAGTCTCACTTTATCACCTTGGTAGAGGTGTCATAGCTCACAGCAACCACAACCTCTTGGGCTTAAGTGATCCTCTTGCTTCAGTCTCGAGTAGCTGGGACTACAGGTGCATACCACAGTGCCCAGCTATTATTAAAGATGAGGTCTGGCTCTGGCTCAGGCCAGTCTCAAACCTGTGAGCTCAGGCAATTCACCCGCCTTGGCCTCCCAAGTGCTAGGATTACAGATGTGAGCCACCTTGCCCAGCCTCAGTGACTTTCTTAAAGAAATATAAAATTGAATTCTAAAATTCTTATGGAATCTCAGGGGACCCAAATAGCCAAAACAATCTTTAAAAAGAAGAACACAGTTGGAGTTTTCACAATTCCTGATTTCAAAACTTACTGCAAAGCCATAGTACTCAAAACAATGTGGTACTGCGATAAAGACAGGCAGACTTATGGAATGGAGTAGACAGACAGATTAGAAATAGAACTCTTGGCTGGGCGCCTATAGCTCAACCGGCTAAGGCGCCAGCCACATACACCTAAGGTGGCGGGTTCGAATCCCCAGCCCGGACCCGCCAAACAACAATGATGGCTGCAACCAAAAAATAGCCGGGTGTTGTGGCGGGCGCCTGTGGTCCCAGCTACTTGGGAGGCGGAGGCAGGAGACTCGCTTGAGCCCAGGAGTTGGAGGTTGCTGTGAGCTGTAATGCCACGGCACTCTGCCCAGGGGGACAGCTTGAGGCTCTGTCTCAAAAAAAAAGGAAATAGAACTCTTGGGCTTGGCGCCTGTTACACAGTGGTTAAGGTGCCAGCCACATATATTGAGGCTGGCAGGTTTGAACCAGGCCAGGGTCAGCTAAACAACAATGATGACAACCTCAACAAAAAATAGGCAGGCTATGTGGCAGTTGCCTATAGTCCCAGCTACTTGGGAGGCTGAGGCAAGAGGATCGCTTAAGCCCAAGAATTTGAGGTTGCTGTGAGCTGTGACAGCACAGCACTCTACCAAGGATGTTGTGTGATGTTCTTTCTCACGAGGAGAGAAGGACGGCTTGGCCGCAGGTGCAAGCTCGCTCCTAGAATTGTTTAAAAGCAAGAAACGACTACACACTCTTAGGTGGCATGTAGCAAAATGTCTTTATTTTTTATTCTTTTTTATCCGGAGCTAGTCACGTACACTACATTGATCTATAATCCTAATATCCTCATTTTTTATTTTAAATTATAGAAAAGAAAGAAAGAAAGTCCAGGAATGTGAGATAGTCATTATAAGATTAGTTTAACGAAAGAAAGTTTGGGAAGTAAGACGACCATCTTAAGCTAGCCTTAGGCTATTCTTCTTGGAAGATCTAAAAGAATAATATATTATTTGACTTTTATTGTTGAAGTTAAAGGTTAGGATAAACAGAGGAGTAAAACTTTTTTCTTTTACGTATTCAATTAAATTTCCGAGAAACTGATTTCATGATTGTTTTCTTATGGCTTTGGAGACCCTGCAGTTACGCTGGAGTATTTTACTCGACATCATTATCATGGAGTTTTTCTTTTTGCTCACATCAACCTTTGAGTCATGTCTTCTGCACAGATGGGCCATTTCAACCCTTATCTGACAGGCTGACTTAATTGCACAGTTGGGGTTACCTGTAAGAGGTTTTTACGCCTGGCTTGCAGGCCCCCACCGTGTTTTCCCAGGTCGCTTAGGGCCTTGACAAAAGCACATAATACTCACAAGTCTTTTTGCTCAGTTCTGGAATTAAAAGAGCACATTTCATTTAATTTTTGTGGGGGTTTACCCCAAAATTCCCCTTTTTTTTGACAATGAGTATTCATGTCAGTTATCATCAAAGTAAAAACTGCAGCATGGCGTCTGTTTTCTTCCTCTGTATTCTTAATTCTTTTACAAATGATATACAATAATAATTTTAAAATTAAAAACAAAGCTAAAGATTTAATAGAACTTCCAATTAAACCTTGAATTTTAGTAGCTGGATTAATTTGTTTAATACCATTTGTGATGCCTCTTAAGATCTGATCTTTTGTAGCTTTTGTACTATCTTTTGTAGCTTATTTTGAAAAGTTGTATATACTTTATGCTGTAACGTAATAATTTCTTTAGTTAAAATTTTTATGATTTAATAAATGCTTTTTATTTATTAAGGAAATTTTAACAAAATTTCTTAAGGAAATTTTGTTTCATTATATATTACAGGAGTAATGTAAAAAGTTGTCATATTTTAATTATATTTAAGTCTAATTTGTGGCTCAGTGCCTGTGGCTCAAGCGGCTAAGGCGCCAGCCACATACACCTAATGTGGCAGGTTCGAATCCCCAGCCCGGGCCCACCAAACAACAATGATGGCTGCAACCAAAAAATGGTCGGGCATTGTGGCAGGCTCCTGTAGTCCCAGCTACTTGGGAGGCTGAGGCAGGAGACTCGCTTGAGTCCAGGAGTTGGAGGTTGCTGTGAGCATGATGCCATGGCACTCTACCCAGGGGGATAGCTTGAGGCTCTGTCTCAAAAAAAAAAAAAAGTCTAATTTGTTT